GACACAGCGCTGTCCACATGTATTTGTCGTGTTTTCTGCGGAGAACCCTTGCCAGGAGTTGAACCAACCACATCCTCGAGCGCTGCCGCTGATCATCCGCGATCGCTCATTCGGAGGACCGAAGCCCACCTTGTTCACGGTTAGCCGCGAGTTGACGGCCGTTCCCCTATCCGCGACCTAGGGACGCGCTCGGTAGCATACAGCTGTGATCTCCATGATGGTCAGAAATCGACTACAGTTGCTTAATTCTTTCGCCTAGACAGTTGCGTAACTAAGGGTGACAAAAGATAAAGTGATCGTGCGCATAGCTAAGATGCAAACTGCGTACGCTGCACTGAAACACCTACGGCGTTGACGTGACATTTTCTTGAGGTCGAAAGGTTGGCTGTTTGGTGCCAGTGTGATCAGTTCTGCCCCAAGGTTTTGAGACCTTGAGTTTGTATGAGAGAAATCCATCTTCTGTAGATCTTCGGCTGTCAACGTTTATACAGTTGGATGCAAGCAGGATGGATCGAGTGGGTTAGCAGCGCTTAGGCAAACCTCCAATTTCAGATTAATAGAATTAGGTGGTTAGCATACGGATTGTCTATGCCTAGCGGTTGTCTGCCGCACCTTACCTTGTATGCAGTTACTGCTCCAGATCAGGTGGTGCGTAGACCGGCGGTAAATAAATACCCAGAGCGACTGATTAAACTAGGTATCTCCTGCCTTCTAGGATCGGGTCTAAAAGGCTCGGTAACCGATTACTTGGAGACACTGAAGGACGTGATTGCGAGCCAACTGCAGTGACGTTCTTGTCATGTCCCATCATGCCAGAATGTTTGTGCACGTATAGCTAGACTATGCACTTTGTTCACCGCTTTTCGCTCTTATCAAAGCGGGCCCACCCGCATCCACATGAAACATTCGTACTCAGTTCGTATAGATTATGCGCTTGGTAGCAATCAGTGGAATTCGCCGTGCGAAGATTTTCTGCTTTACTCACACGATGTATTTTTATCGTGATACTACGCGCAGTGTTCTTCCATTGTCTTTTTATTTCCGTTTTTTAATTGATTGACCCAATAGACGTTGTTCAAAACGGACACACGAAAGTGCGAGTTTAATGTTTGAGTACACTGAACTAAACAGTAAATTTTTCTTGGCCCCTAACTCCATTCTTCATTTAAAAATAACCGTCATTTGCACTTTGAGATGAACTAATCGGTGCCGTTTCACTTCACTGTCCTATTATTGTCTTTGAAAAAAGTATATCCGAGTTCGTTCTGGTAGACCCCATTGATTGCCCAAGGTACTTGTGAGAATGACCTACCAACTACTCCTTCATCATCAAATTTGCTAGCAGCGTACTAAAGGAACAACCTTCTAAGATATATCCTAACAAATTTCTAACTTAGCTCATTTCCAAAATGAAATAATTCTCTATTTCATCTGTGAGTTTCATACGACCCCCAATCAACGCCGGTCCTTGTATTTATTTTCTGCAGCTCCACCACCACATAAACGCGCTCAACCGGTTTACTAATGTCCTACTATCTTCTTATTTCAGTAATCACATCAAAAAAGAATGAACGTCCTTACTTGCGGGCTCTGCNCAACCCATACAGAAGCCGAGGATAGTGTGGCAAACGCGTCGTCCAAATCCAAGCCATCCTCCTCAAGTTCCAGTACAAAAGTCGCTGCTTCCACTTCCGCAGTCAATCCCTACCTGTTGAAACCAAAGTTCTTGGACTACTGAAGTGACTGTGAAAACAAAGGTTCTGTACATTAGTTTGCACTTTTTCATGCATCCTGTAAATAAACTTTCATCATAGTTGTAGTTTTCATGTGGGATTGCACATTTGTTCGATTACAAAATACAAATCATGAGTAAATAGCAACAATCTAATTAAGCCCGTAAATACGTATGACATCAATATTAAGTCACGATATTTTTGTGGCCTATTCACAACAACATCACTTCTCTAATGCTTTTTTGCATTCTTGGTACGCTCTACAGACGTTAAAACTTCCGGACTACAACCGGAATATCAGTGTTTAGCCCACATCTGCACTTACCTATTTTCAGGAGAAGCCTAACCTTCCGCTGGGAATTCTCGCATTTTGCATTTGAAATGGTTTGAGATCAGTCGCCAGCGTGAGAACGTGTCGGCGGTCCTAGATACGTAGTCAGCAGGTTAACGATTAGAAAATGGCAACCTGGGTTGTGCAATCTCTCTATCGGCACCCTCGTAATCCCGACTCCGAAACAATGGCTAGACCTTGGTCAACCACGTGTGTACCGCACGTTTCTCCCTTTTTAAATCCACGTTTGGCTGGCACTACTACTTGCACTGTTTGCAACCGTCTTTTAACCGGGGCCGTTATTTTGGCGAAATACAAAACCTATAGATCCGGAATCGACTGCCGCACTTGTTTTACGTGGAATTCCTCCAGGTGTAGCTTATTGTGACTCGTTTCGGTTCAATGGAAGAATGCACTGACTTCGTCGGTTTATTTTATCCTGTGTTAGAAACGGTGAGATACAGAACTGTTCTAAGCATATTTGTGATCGTGATACATAGAGGACTACACGGAGACAAGAATGGAGTAGCATCGATAAGCATTTACCCCTTATCATATGTGCGCTGACATTGTATTGACTGACCTTGATAAGCAGGGTCAGTGGTTGTGAAAACTGAAATTCCGAAAGCACCCCCTCGGTGTTAAAACCTGATACCAAATGAGGAGGGATGACCGAAAACTTGGTTTATGTAAACCGAATCAAACATCAAAAGCGATGGAAATGTTTGTGATAACCAACACTGGCCAGATGTTTCGTTCTGTTTGGGACTCGTCACCCAAGACCATCAGGAGTGCCAGGTGCCTCTGAACAATCGAATGGGCTTGATACCCCGAATCAAACTTCGCTCAAAATACCCGAATTTTCCTATTTTGTCCGCGAGAAAGCGAAGCGCTTTAGTATTTTGATTTGGACTAAACATCCTTCAAACTTCGCCACACGCAATCCTCAGTCTATCTATTCGACCACACTAGACTCGAGTTTCCCTCTCATTGAAGCTTATCAGTTGTGCATACCCAACATCCCGTTCAGGCCTTGAAATTCAGACCGATCGCATGGAAGGCGTGTTACCATTTTGACAACCAGCTTTTGTATTTCGGAAAGCCTGGTTTGAGGCTCGCTTCTGAAATGCTGGTTTTTATAATTAAGGCTAGTAACGGTCATTTTACAATCCACTGAACAACTTCATGCTTCGTATAAACAAATAATGATGATTACGACCCCGCATGTTTCTGCCAATTTCCATAAACGATCGAAATCCATCCAGGCTATTGTGTGCACGATCAGTTGTCCTGCTATTTGATAGTGTTCACAAAACTGAGCAATAGTATGCCCCTGGCGTAATCACAAAGAGACAAGTTGGAAGTGCATGGATAAATTATATTGCAGTCAAGGGGATCTAAGAGAACTCATCCAAGGAATATGTACAAAGAGAATGGAGAATTTAAATGCACACAAAGGAGATCAAATATCAAACAATAACGTGACGGAATAGCAGAATGATTGGAGAATAGCTTTAGAGTGTTGCATTCGCCAAAGATATTCGTCCAGGCAGGCATCGAAGTCATCTACACTAGTTCCATTCAAATTCTCAAAACTCCGTTTCCAATGCGACCATAAACAGGTGATCTTTTGTATATGCACTGCCTCTTGCCCGGGGTTTAATATTCCACGCGAGCGTTGTGCCACATAATGTTGATAGCCCTCGGCGAGATCATTCAACGGTGCATAACCTTCCCAGTCATCGGTAATGATAGCCGTTCCGGGCTACAATCAGAGATCAAATTTCCACAAAGGGCAAACTCACTTTTATGAACTCACGAATCAAAGGAACAAGACTGAACGCATCACGACTATTTTGTGGACAACGAGCAAGAAAAACACGCTCTGTGCCACGCTCAGCTCCACCGAGCAGCCACACTTTTCGGATACAATCCTTTCCATTGCGATCTTTCAAGCGGCACGTGAAAAGAGCTTCGTCAACCTCGACCACACGACAATATCCAGGTTCCGCATCTTCTTCTTCAACGCCTCCAAGTCGCTCTTTTAATTCCGTATTGGTCTATGAGGGGTAATGATGAATATGAGTCGCACAACTCACTTCACGGCAGACTTCACGAATGCAATACAACCACTCTTTGGCCTCTTCCGGCGAGGTATTCGTATCCAATGGGATAAGGTCTGTCGGATGTCCGATACACCACAGATAAAGTATTTGTGTAGCTGTTTTTACACTCAAATCGCAATGCTTGAAGATAGTTCGATGTCGGATTGAGCGTGTCTGTCGACACCGATCACAATACCATACCCAACCATCAATGTTGGTTGAGTCTGGGACCAGAAACAGCTGTTGAGAACAGTTGTATCGACTGCATTTGACTCGATTCGGAATCAGTCGTCGTCTGGCAAGCCAACACAAAAGTTTGACCTCATCTTTCCAGATGTGAAAGAAATCCATCAGTCGTAATGACGGTTCGTTAAGCCAATCATCCCGATTGTGAAACACATTTTCACAGATAGCTTCGGCTTTTTCCCGGTTCCCACCTTCAAGTGTTTTGGAACTATTTAAAGATGACCGGTTTTGGTTGAGACGCTTACTTTACATCACCAGCTGGCAGCGTCTCCACTAAACCGGTGGTAAGTCTGATAAGAGATAAGCATAACACAAGGAGAAACACATACCTGTTCTGTGCCCGTTTCGATTTATCTTTTCGCATTTGAGCACTGGGATAAAAGTAAGAATGAGAACAGTGAATACTAAACATACGTACATTTTCGATATGGGTTTCTTCTTCTGTGATTGCTGGGGTTCCAACTCGATCAAACTGCACATAATGGATTGAATCATGAACTGGCGAAAGTGTGACCTACTTGAAATTTTCATCCACGAGCACATGGTCTGGAGGAATGGATTGTTTGATTAGCTCTATATAGCTAGGACTCACGGCCAATCTGTTAAGTGAAACAGAACCATGACCACGACAGAAATCAGAACTGAACACCGGCTACAATAGTACGGAAAAACTTAATTCGTTCAAAATTTGGCTCCTAATTTCCGTTAGATCCAAAAAAGATAACACACTGGGTTGAGTTTGTGACTAAAAAGAATTTTTGCTCAGTGAGCATCTTATAGTTTTGTCCACCCGACTGGCCATTTAGCTCTCCGCTTCTGAAGGAAAACCGGAACAAATGCAAGCGATTGAACGCTTAACTGGATTGTGTGTGAAGGTCGAATCGGAAGAATGGTCGATCAAAAGCAAAACAATACAGGCTTTCGCCGAAGATTTGAATCCCTCACATCGTCAAACTACGTGAATGAGTTGCATTCAAACTGTTCAATTTTTGGTGCAACATCTAGAGTTTGGTACACTGAAAACTTACATTTTTCGTTTTCTCATGTTTTATGGAAGAAAACGTTCTATGTTCACAATTAAACCTTGGAAGTTTCATTTCTCATTAAATCTGCGTTACCTATGGACACGTCAAATGATGCCAAATCTTTAGGGGGTCCTAGACTTCTCTCATACCACCACTTGTAGATAACTAGCAGTTGAAATAAGATTCAGCGGATCAAGTTAGAAGTTAGTTCTAACATCGAAGATTCTCACTGATTTGAATGGCATTGTTCATATAAGGCTGAATATCTCTACACATGTCAGTATGGATAGGTCATCAATGAAAATGAGCGGTATTCGCCATGACAGCTGCCACCCAGTAAGTTCGTTTTTACCGCATAATGTGAGATAATCAAAAATGTCATCAACAGACGACGCGGAGACTTTTTCTGTGGAAGAGAACCGATGTTTCGGTATCTGTTCGGTTTGGAAAGATGTGCTTAAGAAAACGAAAAGAAGTTAGCACATACCGTAGAGGCTTTTTCGACGGGGATATGTCAACCGGGTCTGTTCCGGATTGAGGCACACTACAGATGGGCAAAGACAGGTGTAATTTATTGGATACAACATACCTTGTATCAAGAGATGAACTCGCCAGTAGTGACGCCTCACATGTCCTTTGGGAAGGATACATGAAAGATGTGAAACATCAGTTGGCAACGTGATTTGCGGTTCATGTCAATTAAACTTCGATTAATTCAAGTTAACGATCATTTGGGAACAGACTCGTTCCACAAGTTTATAGTGTGATAGAATTGTACTTCATATTTCATTTTATTGGTATCTGCCATTCTATTAGATTGATAGAGACGGTAACAATCCTCTACACATGAAATAAATACAGAGTTGCATGCCCCCAGGTAGCGGATGGCCTAACGGTCATCGAACCGTCAGTTAATTGTGAACAGGGCGGGTGCAGGCTCATGGAATAAACGACCGCGAACGAGCAGCTGCAGTATCCGAGTGGGTGGTAGGTTTCCATTTCCCATAAAACGCCACAACATATCGACTACTGTACTGCGACTTGGCGAGNCCCGCCACTAGGACCGTGGCCGTTTCACACGTTCGTCAGGATCTTTTGGAGGCGAACTAAACTACTAGCCACCGGCTTGTTCAGAACAAACCCGCACTGTAGACAACGCTTGGATAAGCAAAAGTGGCAGGTGCAACCTCGTATACAAAGATCGAACGATGCCGGGGACATCGCTTGTGACCATATACCCGAGAATCATCGTGGATCGCTGTCGTCCATAGAGTCAGCTTATCTTGTAGCAGGAGGTAGTCGAGTGAAAGTACAAAGAAAGAGACATGGGATGGTTTACCAAGCAGCTCTGGAGAAAAAAAGAGAAACAGCTTACTTTGCACAATTATTCTTTGAAGTGGATGAACTGGCTTTGTTCGGTTTCGAAACGGACTTCACAGTGCTGGCGTGCATAGCGTTGGTGGGCATTCGAATAGAGATAGAAAAAAGACGGGAGAAAATTCAAGGTAACAAGTTCATGTAAGAGACAGCACTTCAAATGAAATTAACCGTGAAACATCTAAACAGTGAGGTGAGTCACGAGAATAATAAATTTAACCTACTGAAGATGTGCATGCACAAGATCTACTGTTACTTACGTATGCATCAACGTAAGATGTGCAATCGTTGGTGGCCGACATGGCCTTTTAATGTCAACGACCAACATAAACGCTAAATGTGGATTGCAACAAGAGAATATGGATTGAAATGATCCCAATGTGCCTTAGCGACAGAGCTGACTTGAAAAAGTGCAATTGCAAGTCCCAAAGATAGAGATCAAGGAGTAACCAAACATTAGTTTACATTGTTCCAGCTTCCAAGTTGCGGCTATTAATGCAAATACAAACGGCTTCATTGTGCCTGGATGACTGCGATGGAAAACTATGATAACATAAAAAACTACCGAATAGTTTTCATTCTACGAAGTAACCATTTCAGATATGCATGTCTTTATATCTTACAGTACCTGGTACAGAAAAAGGGTTTTTAAGGGTACACGTGACCTCAATGAGGAGAATTAAGTGAATTATTTTCTAGAGCACAAAAACCTTGCACCATGGTTCAAGAGATAGTCGGTCTAACCGAGTGAATTCCAAGTAAAAGTAAAATTATGACGTTTATTACGACAGAAACGAATCCTAGATATGTTTATAGATAGGTGAATAAATGAAAAGTTATGGACCTCATAAACTTCCTTCTCGTTGCAGTGGCATTTCACAGACCGTTTTGGTTGAATTTATTGTGAGCAAGCATTTTGATTCATGCGATCGATTTATCAGCCATATCCTGTTCAATGAAGAACACTGCCTGCACTCTCATTTCAAGAAATCGGTGTCTCATCCGAGTACCCGTTCCCAAATTCGAATTCTTTGTGCACGCACCTCCACATACAAAAACAGCATGATCCCTTATTTTGCTCGTATCTGGGTCAACCCAGTAACTATTATTACTGACTTGAACAATCATCTGTCACATTAGGATTTTATCTAATCCGTTTGTTTTTCATTTAGTAAATGTATATTTTTTTCCAATGCTTAACGTTTTCCTCACTGTAACTTGCCGAAAATGTTGAAAATTAATCCTATCGGGTGCATAAAGCTGTACATGACTGACTGACTATGCCGTATGGAGCACACGCAAGTGTTGTAATATCATCAAAGGGAAAGCTGTAGTCACAAACCATGTACGTGCATGGGCACAACCTTTTGTTTTCAGTATGCTCGTGATGGAAACATTCAGATGTGTGTTTCCTTTACAGTTCGTCCTGTCGATCGAGAAAATCAGTTATCGAAATTGGTTTCGTCAACGTGAAGCCGCTATAAGACGCTCCCTTTGCATTTGTAACCATTGTGTAAATGGCGCGCTTCGATTGAACATTATCAACATCTTAAAGCTTCTGCTGTGATCTATTTGAACCAGCTTAGATTGGAGCGCAACGCTGCAGTTCATCGAAAGCTGTGTCGGACCTTGGTACTGAACAGGAACGGACACCAGTATGTGTAGAATTGAAGAAGTCGACCGCTGTTGTATGTCCGCTGGTAGGACAGAGCACATAAACCACCCGGACGGGATTTCGACCCGCTCAGTTTCCAAAAATGAGGTAAAATCACCTACCAGCACAATTATATCATATCTTTGGCTTAACTGAGTGAGTTCGGTGAGTCTGTCGCAGAACTCGTCGTTTGTGCATCAGAGCTGTAGATGATCGGTACATGTGCTGAGCAAACGCCTTTCGGTGTTTTTTCGTGATGGGCTGATCCTTTTGCGTTCAGTTGTTTGGATTGAATGTTTTCTTGTGCTGTAACTTTGACAACCAAGCAGTCGAACCATAGAGATTACGCCAACGGGTTGCTCAGCGAGTAACAATCACTCGTTCTCGCATCGTTCTTTTGGACTGGAGCTAACCGGAAGACCAAGACCATGAATAAACGATTCGTTGTCACGCGTCAGAGTGCTATCGAGTGATTCAGGTCTAACATCACCCGAAAGCCCCCTTTCTTGAGTGATGAGTCCACTGAATTACCTCTACATTCCAGCAGGGAGGATATTTGCTGGTATTCATGAATAAGAGAGTTCTTTGATTTGTTAGTTGAACATGTTTCATAAAACCTATGCACTCACTGTTGCGAGACCGTCAAGTGCCGTCGTGTTGATGTTCACAAAAATCTGCCTGTATTAATGGAAACCAAATCTTCACTTGAAACTTATGGTGTTCCATCGGCGGGGATAAATAATCCAAGTGATGGTTATTAACGGCGGTACGACTTGTACAACGTCGATATTTGGTGTCAATGGTCTTGGTGGTAAGGATAACCGGCGAAGGGGGGGTGTAGGGTAAAAGCCACTTTCTACTTAAACAACAACCATGTGCGGTGAAAACTATTGCACAACTTACGTTTCGATTGACGTTGATGGCGCTTTGCGCATTGTTCCGGAATTTCGATTACTGAAAGGCGTAAGACACCACGAATAAGAAACTATTACACTCATTGAGGAATATGGGAAAAAGATAAGTAAGTTGAAAGGAGCAGTATTTTTTGTGGACGGACTGCATGCACGTCAATCCACGATAAGAAATGGATTCTGGTTCAACCTCTACAAAACTCCCGTCTGAAATTTGTGTTCTGTCCGGAAGACAAAGGTAGACGGAATTTGAACACATTAATACCATCCAATTAGGAACTAGCAAAGTTTGGGATTGCTGTTTTATACCTAATGACAACGCAGTTGGAAAGAAATTAAACTTTTAGCCATATAATATCGTTAAAAAGGGATAAGTATTAATTTACTGCGTTTACCTTTTTGCATTCATCACCGAACCACAGTCTGTAGCCCACAACCCAGCTTGTAACACTTAGGTACTAGTTACATCACTTGAAAATACCGTGATTCTCCTATTTTTATAAATACTTTTCCTAAAACTGTAACTAGAAATTCCAGCGAAAGAGAAGTGCCCATATTGCACCACCTAAACCTTTGGATCCTGATTGGCTGAACTGCAACATCAGTTATCGCTGGTCCCGCAATCGCGTATAAAGAGACCGATGCAATTCGCCTTTCACCTAAATGAAATGCACACGCGCACCGGGCTAGTCTTACATGGTGGACCGTGGTACCGCGAAAATATTCTTAATCCATTGTTCGGTCTAGCTTGATGGTGGGTCGTTAGCTTGTAACGCTCGATGCATAGCGTGACCTGCAATGAGTAGTTATCTTCATTTTAAACGTATTCAAAAACAGCACGAGACAAGAATATGCCGTGTTAGTTAATGCGTGAAAAGATTGAGGGAATCTGTGACACATCAAACAGAACTCACAATTCATCTTCAAACATGACAAATTCTTTGGCTGCCAAATATCTGGGCTTTTTTCTTTTTCGTGTAGAAGCGGGAGGTTGAGACTCACTTCTGGAATAAAATAAAGCATCAGAGGATGTAAGAGGCTTAAACGCAAAAAACTACTGAAAACTTAACTTGTTTACCTTACGCTTTCCCTCTGATCAAAAGTGATGGTTATTTTGTAAGCAAAGGAAAAAGAAGTCCTTCTCTCGTTCAGTTTGCCTCTGTGAACGTTGAAAATTGACTGCGATTTGTCCGAAAATTCTGGCGGCAGTTACCCGGAAAGGTTAGCGTGTAGACTTGAGTGAACTACCCTCATCGGGCAATATAAACTATAGGCAATGACAGAAACGACATCCTGCTGTACCCATCCTTTGCTCCAATGCAATCACATAAGAAATCATTTTCCAGTTACTTTAGACTATACGCAAATGCATTCTACCCTGTTCATCGCGAGCTTGGAATTTTGGTTTTTCAAACGAATGTCAAGTGCGGGGAATAGGTGAGAAAGAAGTAAGTTCGCACGAGTTACGTGAACCGATTTTCTATCCACAAATGCGTCCAGTCCGTTTAGTTTAGTGGTGAGCTGAAACAGATTCAGTTATCAGTAAAGGTAGCTATTAATTCCAAAACACAGATTGATAGTGACGGAGTTTTTGAGTGGTAAATCTGACGCATCAGTACACACGGAGACAGTCCTCTGTTCCATACATGAGCTAAGTGAAACAGAAGTGGCGACGAAATTTTCTGGGAACAATCTTTTCTTTGTTGTGGAATTGCTGGCAACAGTATGTTTGCAAAATGTTCTTTACTGCAGAGCAAACTGGTCTCTATAAATGCACTTTGTATAGACAACACTAACAAAAACGATACGATTATTAGCTCGGTTGAGTGATGGATTTCAATATACGCAAATCCATCAAGTATCAGGCGGCCGGAATTCTGCGGGATGAAGGTAACTATCGGTTGGTTTCAAATCATGAAACAAACTACAGCTCCAATACTCAGTCACAGACACAATCTTTTTCGCTCGTAATATTGAGAGCCGTGGCAATTCGTTTCAACTACAGAAAAGTTGTTTGGAACAAATGGAAATTTATCTTGACTCGTCAGGCCCAACAAAAAATAGCTTATTTAAAAAAATGCAAACATATTAGTTCTGATAAACAAACAAGCTAATGACAAACAATGCACGGTCGCAATAACTCACAATTTCGGATCACGGTCTTCATTACCTTCGACGACTTCTCTCAAAGATGCCTCGGGATCCCCGTCTGTAGGTGCACTGCTTGTTGAGTGTTTGAGGAATAAGCGAACACACGATTAGCAACGATTATATAAACACTACACGTTACAGCAATGAGGAAATTATACACTTGCTAGGATTCAAAATACATCGAATGTATTTTTATAACAAAAAGAGAAAAATGATTTTGATTGACTATCATTCACACTTCATTGTATCAACCGAACAGTCAAAGTTTTATTATGGGCGTTTTAACAAAGCCAAAGCTTATCATGCCCCATAGGATTTTTACAGAATGTTTTGAATAGCTTTACAA